ATTTTATAAGTGCCATACTGACAGAATAAATTTCATTAAATGGAAAAGGGAGAGCCGGGTTCGGCCTTATCATCTAAAGCTCTCTTGAGGCATTTGCTACAGTAATGAGAAGTGATATTTTATCAAGTCCAGGTTACCTAATTTGAGTTGGAAATATTAGAACCCGCCGTGGAACCACCAAGAAGGTTACACGTTCACGCGTCGTATACCTGGAACCATTTTAAGGTAAACTTTGAGGGATTGATATCTTTCGTATGACAGCGCGCAGACGAGATTTTATAATTTCATAGTTTTAAACGGCCTAAATACCTTAACTCGCTTAAAAAATAACGAGCTATAACGAAATTGGCACAGAAATAAAATCTAACATCATTAAATTATTTTTCATATACATACACTTTTCTCGTTGAGAAAATTAATTTTTTTAAGGCAGTATTATGATATTTTATTAAATTATATAGTACAAAGAACTAAGGCTATTCAGAGCTTTGTTTCAAGAAATAAAAAGGGAAAATCAAATTTCTGAAAATAACTAAAGTCGAGAGTACCCAAACTAAAGGGAATTTCTCAATAAGCCTTCGGTGGAGATATTGGTGAAGGGTTTCTGGCATAAAACTTACATATCTCTTTCAAACTTATTTTCCAATACATTTTACTCCTTATTGTCACAGATATTAAGGTACCGATATGTACATTAGAGTGCTCCAAAATAACTAACTTAACCAATTTATGGCCTTAGAAGAACATATCTACTAAGAAAAAAAGTCTCCCATTCGGAAAAATTGTTATTCCAATTTTAAAAGGTGCCGATGGGAATTGGAAACTTTCCATGTAAATAACATATATAAAAATTGGTTTTCATTAAAAATGTTATACCTATTGAACGGTTTGAGATACAAATTTTTCTTGGCTTATTCTTGTAGGGCACTAAATTCTCTATAAAGAACAGAAATGAAAGTCAAAAATTTATTTACTTACTTTATGAATGTCAAAAAAGCAAAAATATGCAGTTTTAGGGCTGGAAATATTCGTGCTAATTGAAAGACCTCTCACTAAAATTATACAAAATGTTGATTACAAACTAGATTTTTCAAAGAAGAGAGAGTTTTAGTCCATTTATTTATTTTTTATTGCATCTATAAACATTAATATTTTTTTAAATTATTAATAAAATTCGTTCGGCAATATCATTAACATATTTAATACGCCTAATCGTCTTTAAGACAACCAACTTCCGGGTGATTTCATGCCCTACAATAATATGCCCAGAAAACCTTTTATCTCAAATGGTTCAATAGTTATAACATTTTGAACAAAAACAAATTTTTTTTACAAATATTTTACATGAAAAATTTCAAATGCCCATCGACACCTTTTAAAATTGGAATAAAAATTTCTGCAAATGGGAGAATTTCCTTCTCGGTAAATGGATCCTATAAAGGCCATAAATTCGTAAGGTTAGTTATTTTGGATCACCCTAATGTATGTACATATTATGTAGATATGAGTAAATACAATCAAATTCGCTCTAATTACAGTGAACTCTGATCATTCACATATTAATTTTATTTCACAGCTTTCCCGAGGAGGGTCAATATGGACTGGATATCTATACACGTGAAGCGGGCGCCATGGCTTCACATCATAGCAACTCATCATCCGGTGAAAAGCATCTACTCACGCACTGCTGTAAATACCTAATCAATTCATCGAAGCGGAACTAAAAGCGCATAATTATATAACTATGAATGCAATGCTGTTGTTACAATAATTTTAGTGTAAATGCGAGAATTACCAATTAATCGTAAGAGTTTATTATGCTTAACACCAATTGTTTAAAAAAAATTAATTCCATGCATATCAATATACAATATTATACATATTAAAATCCAAATAATATTGAACTATGTACAACTTTACAATACATAAATAATAAATATACATAATTGCAATATTTTATATTGGACTGACATACGATTTAATTTAATTATTCCTACAAAAACATTTTCCCAACATTACAAAACAGTTTATCTTAACAAACCTAACCTGTTTGAATATCTCTTTTTACGCCAACGCACACTTTTCCACAGACTTTATCGAAGTTTTCGGTTTGGTTTAAATCATGATAAAAATATAGTAAGGTAGAACCGCTGAGAGTCACTTTTAAAATTCTTGACGTTTCCAAACAATTTAATTTTCAAATTTACTCACAAACTCACACACACATTTTCATTTTCAATCTCAAGCAACAACAATTTCGTACAATTTCAATTTTTTATTTTCACTTTTATATGATTTTAAAATGTTGGCAAACTTCAAAAAAAAATCATGGCCGACAAATTGAGAGAACGGTTATACCTTGCTATGTTTTTATCATGGTTTAAATTCCTAAAATCCTACAACTGAAAGCTTTCAAACAATGTACGTGTATGAGTAAAAATTCGTGAAGTGGGCCACAATTTTTTCGAAGGTCGAACTGTTTTTCTGCAATTATCTGTTTATGCTTCACAACGACAGAAGAAAAATACAAGTTTCACAATTTTTCGAAATTCGAATTATTTTGGAAATTATAGCTATATTAATATTTTTCGCAATTGTTTAGATTTTAATTGTTTTCTCGAGA